AAGGTAAGGAAAAAAGGTGAGTTGAGTACTATGGAAGGGGTCGAATATGATCATACAGTGGGGGTGATGGTAGTTTGAAGTGAGAGGTCAACCGCCGGTTAATAGACTTTTTGTCGTATGAATATACGTTGGCCAGGGTGCACCACGTGGAGGTAAGTCTATTGAAAAACGAATGCCGAGTGATAGAATTTTTGCCGTAAGAAAGTACGTTGCCCAGGGTGCACCACGTGGAGGTAAGTCTATCGTAGTTAACCGCCGGTTAATAGACTTTTTGTCGTATGAATATACGTTGGCCAGGGTGCACCACGTGGAGGTAAGTCTATCGCACATTTTATTGTCTAATCGCTTTTCACTGCTTTTCCCAATTGTGGTGGTATCAGGTGAAGGCTATAGGCATGTATTGAGCATGTTTCAAACGGCAATAGCGCCGCTTCCGTTGCGAGTCTAGTACCAATGGAGCTTATGCTGAAAGGGGACCGTGCAGGTCCTAAGGGCGTTAAAGGGCTAAATTACCCACTTTTTCCAAGTTAATACCAAGTCTAATCTGCTGGAGATAATAGCTTGTCCAGACGATGAATAATGTGTCATTTCTTCCCATTTGCTCTAAGCCTACGTTATCTTGTCCTTTGTATCCTCTCTCATTATTTCCCCGTTTTTTTATTGTAGACTCCTTCCTACATTGCCGGCAAAGAGAGTATCGTTTTCGGCAACTTGAGCGACATATGTCACTTCCACGAAAATTTCTTCGAACCCGAAATTTGTAAATACGCTAGTGGTGGTGATTTCCTACCCGAAGATGTTGGCCATTGTTTCGTCTCCTTTGGTGATCGATTAGCTAGTCTCTATGTTGAGTACTGTGTTAATAAGGAGGATTCAATGCAGATCCTTGTCGCTGATATGGCTGAAAACTTCTTTGGCAAACTACAGCTGCGCTATCAATTAAGTGAACCACTGCAATCCTTCTTGATCAAACCGGTGCAGCGTATCACAAAATATCAACTCTTGTTGAAGGAATTGAGGGATTGTTGTGATAAGTCATCCGCAGGTGAACTCTCAGAAGGTTTGGATGTCATGATCTCCGTACCGAAAAAGGCGAATGAAGCGATTCATCTTCGAATGCTTCAAGTAATAAGATTTGTCTTTTATTCCTAGAAAACGTATTGATTCGAAAACTAAATAGCATTAGGTCTGAGTAACTACAAGACAGTAGTGGGCTAGAGGAACCTTTCCAAATTATTGCCATTTTTCAGCTTTCCACACTTTTTGTAAGACAAGGTCAGACAGCGTAACAGAATACGTTCTTTGAATTGAAAGTGCAGTAGCCATACACACCGCTCTTGAAACTGATTAGCCAAAATTGTGGTTATTTATCCGGATAAAACTGAGGATATTGGTGGGTGTTATTTCTGTTGTTATTGCTCGAACAAATCAGGGTTTCTACTATTCTGCCTTGACGGTTTAATATCAACTAAAATCTATATCAGGCATGTGTGTTTGTTGGCAAGCTGAGTCTTTTCTGAAAATGTTTCCTTTCTCCCATCGCATTAAAAATTCATTTGGCAGTGGCTTAATTTCTCGAATCCATCGTTCTTCCTTCTTCTTCTTTTTATTCCTCCTTTCACACGGGACGCTGAACGCGCACTAACAGTCCAGTTCGCACACAGTGGGAAAGTAAAAATGCGCAAGCACAGTTTTTTATGCAAATAAACTTTTGAACAAGCCTGGTGTTTGCATGTACCTTGGGTTTACACTCTATGGTACCTAGAGTAGCAAGAAAAAATTGAGTTTGAAATTCATTTAGATTGACTATCTTACACTGGAAATCAATTTAGACGCTTGAAAGTGTGTCTGGAACACTCCTTTGTGTGTATGTGTGTGCCTAAATGTTAATTATGGGAACTGATTTTTGTCTGGTTTGGCCTGGATCTGGGCGGCTGGAGTGAAGGTTGAGGACAAAGCAGATTCAACGTCCAGAAAGTAACGTTAATGTCCCTTAAAACGACTTCAAGCTTCTTGTCTGTTACCACTTATCTTCTTACTTTTTAAAACTTGTCGTCTACATTGATCTGCCACTCCAGAATAACTGAAATCAAGTGCAGATTGCTACTGCCAAATGTTCTAGTTTCATCAATCGAAATAACGTTCCATATCGATTACTAGCCAATTTACTTTGTATTTAGGGCCTTCCAGATGACTTGCCAATGTCCTGCCTTGGCGACGTGGTTTTACAGGACCAATTCACCGTCTGGGAACCTAAGCAACTCATCAAGAAATCACGCGAGCGTCGTGTCTTCCTCTTTGACATTTGCCTCGTCCTTGCCAAGGAATGTCCTGTGAATCCTGGTGAAAGCAAGATGAAGTAGGTGCTGTTGGTTCGTCTACACCCACAAGCGCTCTAATTAACCCCTCTTGGTCATAAAAATTCACTCTAAGCCGTCTAATTAACTTATTTACCCTAATTGGATGTCATCTGTCCTTCATTTTTGTGGCATTTCTTGGACTTCAGTTGGGATGTTAAGATGAAGTTCAATTTAGTGCCTGTCTTACTATAGCCTACGTATCTTAGTTTATCCTCCCTCTTTTTTCTGTGATATTGAATGTCATCTGGTCATCGTGAATATTGACAGGAATTTAAAAAATATAATCAAGAAACCGTGCCTGGTTAAGTTATTTGACTGTGCTACACCAGAATAAGCTTCTTAGAAGCAGTTTTCCTGACTTCTTCTTCCTGTTTTCTTATTCAAGTTCCGCTTAATTCTGTAAAATTAATGACCACACGTCATATGGACTTCTATAAACACTGTAGCAAATCCGCAAAATTAAGATCCGGAATTATAGAGTTCCTATGACTCTTCTCTTTTCCCTTGTGATCTCTCTTCTTGACCGCTGGAGTTAGCCATTCTATACTACTGGATGGGCTTTGAACCCGTGGTGGAAGTGTATTTTGACCAATCTAAATTTTGCCTTCCCACTAATGTTACTTGTCTTTTCTCAAAACTTACAGCTATTACAGTTTCTTGGTATTCAAGGTCTTTGTAAATTTTCTCACGAACTGTGCGTGTGCCTACCTTTAAGAAATTCAACAGTTAACCAAAGGCTGTTTTTCCACAAAATTTTAATTCCGGTCAAAAATATACATTGTGTCGGTGGGAAGTATATTTTCAAGCTTCTATTCGCTTTTTCTAATTGCACTACGCAATTTATACAAACAAATGTTAATTTTGTTTTACCATGTGGACCAACCATATCACGATCACTCTCTAATATTTATATCAAATGGCAGACGTTTTGATAGTTGACATTAGTCCTTTAGTATTAAACGGCAGGCGTTTTGATAGTTATCATTAGCCCTTTAGCAAATGGCAGGCGTCTTGATGGTTATCATTAGCCCTTTAGGCTTCAGGCTTCACAGAGGGGAAGGAACATCAAAGTGATAATGGCAGGCATCTTGAAGGTTATCATTAGCCCTTTAGTTGCCTTCAGGCTTCACAGAGGGGAAGGAACATCAAAGTGAAAACAAGTCCAGGCTTCACAGAGGGGAGGAGGAACATCAAAGTGAAAAACGTCGAAAGATGGAAGCAGAGACAGAAGAGTGTTTCAAAGATGTAAAAGAGACGGGCACAAAGGTCGGGAAAAAAGTGAGATGAGTACTGTGGAAGAAGTCGAATATGACATACAGTCACTCTCTACTATAATAGTCAATAGATGAATGCTGAAAGAAAGCTTTGTGTTGTGTTTCTGAACATCGTCGTATAATCATCTTTTCAAGGCAGTTGTAATCGGTTTGGCACTAGCTGCATGTTTACCTTTGCAAAAGACAAATGGTTTACTCTATAGGCTCCTTCACTTCATCGGCTTTTTTTGCACAAAATCTTCCAGTGTTTTAAAATTAATTTTTTGTTTTCTTTTTTTTCAACTGGGTAAAATGATTCTCTTTCTGGCGTGAAATGCGTTCCTTTCTCAATCTTCTCAAATCGATCGGTTTATTTTATACGATTCTCCACTTTTTGTTTAGGTATCAATTCAAATCTCGTTTTCTGCTGGCTGACCTCAACATCACAGAGCACATTGAGGGTGATCAGTGCAAGTTCGCACTTTGGGCAGGACGTGTACCCCCGGTCAGTGACTATCGCCTTGTCCTCAAAGCATCTAACCTTGAGGTCAAACAGGTTCGTTCAGACTGAATATCCCACATCACATTAATTGTACTTTTTAATCTCTTTCTTATTTTACGTTTCTTAAAGCAATGTAACAACGCCGACCAACAACAAGAGCAATTAAAAGTGGATATATGATATTTGCATTGAATATCAGTTTGCATTAAGACTAGCAGAACTTGCATATAGATGAGATGGCTGAGTAAAGTCATGTATTAGCATTTTCGCGACAATAATAGGACGAAATCTCCGTGAATAGAACCATTATTTACTCCTGTGTTGATAGGTTTTCACTATCGCCTTAATTTTGCCTTCCTAGACTTGGGTTCGAGCCATCCGTGAAGCGATGCGGGAGCGTATGTTCAGCGTTCAGAGTCTTCATCAGGATGCAGCCTCCACTAAAATTAGTGCTGACCCTGTCTCGGCCCTGGATGCCTATTACATTCGAGAGAATTATCAGGTGAGAGTTCACTATCCAATTCCTCTATATTTCCTTTTGGCCATTTCCCACACCAGAATGATGGGAAAAGTTTATAAGTGCATAAATAGTGAGCGCATGCCGGTGGATTCTCAAGTCCAAAATTGGCTTAAATGATTGTCACATATTCGCAACACCACACATTTTCTT